GACTGGTGCTCACGGATGAGCGGGTGCCAGACTGCGTTTCTCTGCGATGAGACCTTGGGGCACGCGCTTCCTGAGCACGCCACCCCCCGTTTCCTCAGGCGTGTACTTTTACTGTTGTTTTTTTTTCGTAAGATTTTATTTACTTATTTTTAGACAGCGGGGAAGGGAGGGAGAAAGAGAGGGAGAGAAACATCCGTGTGATGGTTGCCTCTCGCGCGCCCCCAACCGGGGACCTGGCCCCCAACCCAGGCCTGCGCCCCGACAGGGAATCGAGCCGGCGACCCTTTGGTGCGCAGGCCGGCGCTCAGGCCACGGGGCCCCAGCAGCCGGGGCCGTCCTTTCACTCCTTTTCTCTTAAAGTGTCAGGGCTCCGGCAAGACGTGCAGGCAGGGGAGCAGTGGGCAGCCGTGGCTCACACGGGTCCACCCCGATCCTGTCTCCGGGGCCCCCCTTTTGCCTCCCTGATCTGAGCGTTAATAAACTTACTCTCACTTTCCAAGAATAAATGAACCCTTAGGTTCACCCTGTAATTAACGAGCACCTCATTCCCCATTCGCCTGATTTTCTGGGGGCCGCCCTCCATCCCACACCCGCCCGCAGCCCCCGAACACAGTGCTCCTGAGGGTCCAGAAGAGCCGGAGCAGCTGCCCCGGACACTGGCAGCTGCTTGGCCGTCCGGCCGCCGCCGTGCGGGCTTTCTGACGGAAGGGCACAGAAGGCTGGTGGAGGCCCCAGTCCACCCTCACGCCTGAGTGTGGTCAGGCGGGGTATAAAATTTCAGATTCATAGAGTTTACTCCTCAAAAATGTGAAGCCTTTTTTCCATGGTCTTCCAGATCCTAAAGTCGCTGTTGAAAAGCCAGGTGCTATTTTTATTTTCCTGGTGTTTTCATGTGACCTTTTCTCTCTCTCTCTCCAAAGGCTTTTGGGTTTTCTCTTCAACCCTGGCCTTCGGAAATGTCAGATTTCCAGCCCTCGCTGCGGGTCTTCTCCCCACCCTGCGGGCGCATCGCTCAGCTCCAGGGCGCGGCTTCTTGTCGCTCCCCCAGACGCCCCATCTGTCCCTCCTCTGCGCCCGTGGGGCCTCCAGGCTCCCCTGTGCAATGAACGTGTGGTGGCCTGGCTCTTATGTCTGGGGACTGGGTGCAGCCAGAGGACGGGGTTGGTGGGTGGAGCCGGGGCCTGGGCGAGGCCTCTTTCAGGAAACCAATGTCCACTCGGGCCCGGTGTGCGGCTCTGCCCCCGAGTGCCCGAGCCCAGCCTGAGCCCGGAGGGTCTCCGCTCCGGCTTCTCCAGGGAAACGACTTAGATTCCCTGCCGCTGCCTGGGCAGCGGGTCCCCAGGGTGAGGAGCGGCCTCAGCCGCCGGCACCCCGCCACCCACAGGGCCTGGTGCCCCCCGCCCGGAGCTCAGCTGCCAGAACGCGACGCCTCCGTGGCTTTGTAGCCGCCCGACCCCATTCTGTGTGTCCGGGTGGCATATCAGGCTAAATGTCTTCACTCTCGATTCCCACCAGGAAGCAGCGGGAAGCGGGCGGGACCACCGTCTTGACCGCGGTGCGGGCTCCTGGTTCCTGGCCGCCGCGCCGCGCTGCGTGCCCATCACGCCGCTTCCCCCGTGCGCGCCCCTGAGGACGCCTGCCTTTGCGATGACCGTGACCCCACCCCCTCCCCGTTGGAGGGGGACAGGCGGGCAGGGTCCCAGCAGTCACGGGGCCTCCAGGGGGGGGAGCTGCAGCGGAGCCCAGTCCGCGCTCCGCCCCCCGCCCGCCCGGCCGTGCCCCGTGCTGGGGAGGAAGGCGGGGCGGGTGTCAGGGCTGGCGCCGGGCCTCAGGACAGCCCCCGACCCCGCTCCAGGAGTCCCCGCTGTCCACGGACCCGGAGGCCCCAGGGCAGTGGCTCTCCAAGGGCGAACCTTCACTTTGCCCTAATGAGAACAGCTACCTCCACGGCCAGTGTACAGGGGCCTGACCGCCCCCGCCCCCTCTTCTGCTCCTCCTCCTCCTCCTCCTGCTCCTCCTCTTCTCTCTGTCTCTCTCTCTGTCTCTCTTTCTCGGCTGATTTTTGGCATAGTTCTTATGCCGATTTCACAGAAATAAACTGTGGAATTTCCTCCTTTTTTCTCCCTTCCAAGAACATTCTAAATACCGCTGGAACTATGTTTCCTGAATGTCTGAAACACTCCATCTGTGAATTCTTAGACATACTTCTCAGTTTCTGACAACAGTTTTTAGAGGCCACTCCACTCCCGTGTCACATGTGCGAGGACCGCGAGGCCAGCGGTCCGCGGTCGTTGGGACCCCTTCGGCCGGCGGCCCTCCCCGCCCCCGCGTGCTCCCCGCTCTCCTCCCACCGCGCCGTCCCCGTGCCGGGCGGCCGTGCCCTTGGCCCGTCTTCTCCCCAGGACCGCGGCCGTGCGGGCAGTGTGGCCCCCGCTCCTGGCTGAGGCTGAGGCGCGGCTGTGTCCTGTGTGTCCTGCTGATGCAGGGACGTGAGGGGCGTTTGTTCCAGGGCGTCTGTGGCGCCCTCGGCCGGAGGCTCCGCCAGGTAGAGGCCTCGCTCTCCGGTTCCCGGACGCAGCCCTTGGGGTTGGACTCCCGTTCTAACTCGTTCCCCGTTAGAGGCCCCCCACTCAGCCACTGCCCTCAGGGAGGCTGCGGGCGGCCTCCTCCGTGGGGTCAGGGGTGAAAGGGCAGAGCTAGGGCAGAGACCTGCCCCCTCTGCCACCCTCTACCCTAATGCTAGGTCCGCCCCCCGCGTCCTGCAGGGAACGTGAAGGGGCGTGGGGAACAGGCGGGGTCCGTCTGCACACCCCTGGGCCGTGGGGCTCTGAGCCCTCGGCACAGGGGGCTCTTGGGCCCCCCAAGGTCCCGCTGGGGACACCTAAGAGCCGGGTCCATTCCCGCAGCCGGTGTCTGTGCAGCCGGCCCCCAGCGTGAATCGGCTCCGCCTGACCTCTGCCCTCACCCCTGGCCCAGGAGAGGTCATCCAGGCTCCCCTTGCCGCCCCATGCTCTGCTGCGCTGCTGGGCCCGCTCTGACCCCTCTGACCACTGGGCCAGCCCAGAGCTCGGGCCGGCACCAGGGACGGTGGCGCTGGAGGGCCCCAGGCAAGCCCCCAAGGCCGGCGCCTAGCGTCACCGAGCTCCGCACGCAGTCGGTGCTCACTAAACGCTTGTTGCAATTGCTGGAGCTCCAGCCCAGTGACACACAAGAGGGGCCGGTTCAGGGACCTGCCGCCAAGTGAGGGCGGCCTCGCCAGCCCCGTGCCCCCTGCCCGCCCCCACATTTCACCCTCAGGAGGGAGAGGCGCGTGGCCCCCTCCGCCCTCCTCCTCGGGGCTCCTGTGCTTCCCCGGGCCTCTCTCCAGGGGCGCCCGCTTGTCCGGGCGAGAGAAACGCACGCAGCCACCATCCACCTGCCTCGGGCGCCAACAGGCCAGGGAGGCGGGAGCGCGGCGGCCGCTGCCCCTGGGGGGGGTGCCCCTGCCTCCCCCACACGCCAGCCAGAGAGGACGGCAGCCCAGGAGGCGGCCAGCTGCCGGCCCGGTTACCAGGGGAACTGTCCGGAGAGCGTGTCAGCGACTCTGTGACCCAGTTTCCTGCGAGTCATTGGCCTGAAATCTGTTTGGCAAAACTTCACAGGTGCGGCTGAGAATGGCCCTGAGGCCCTCGGTCTGTCCACCCGGGTCTGTGCCCCCGGCCGAGCACCTGGCGTAGGCGCTGCCCGTGCCCGCAGGGACCACGGGGGTGAGTCGACCGCACACCCCACGACCTGCACAGGCCTCCGGCCGCCAGGAAGGCCCAGGTGATCAGCATGGTGCAGCCTGTGGGCGGCTGGTGTTCAGCCCAGAGCGCAGCCAGAAACTGGTTTGTTTTCCACCTGCAGCGGGCGGCTTTCCAAGCTGCGCCCTCCTCCCCGACGAGGGGCAGGTGCCTGAGTACTCAGGGGGCAGAGGCAGCACCCGGCAGACAAACCTGCAGGGAAGGGGGCCCGTCCAGGCTCCGTCCCACGCAGCCCGGTGCGGTGCCAGAGCAGCCCGGCCACGCTGAGAGCGAGCGCCAAGCACGTGGAGCCACAGCCTCCGGGGGAGCGGGCAGGGCCGGCCCGGAGCCAGGGCGGGGACAGCGTGGCTGGAGATGCGGGGTCAGCACCCGCCCACACGGACAGTTTATTCCCAAGGCGCCTGCTTGGCTGGCCTAGGGCGGAGCTCGTGAAGGGTCAGGGGAGGGGGAGGGCCTCCTGAGGTGGGGGCACGAGGTCCGTGCGCACGGGGACAGCTGTCACTGGGAGCAACGGGGGTCCCCTCGGGCACACGCGGGGCCGGGGAGCGTGCAGACGGCGGGCCAGTTGGCGGCTCTGGCCGTGCATGCATGTGTGGAGGGCGCCCTGCGGGCCTGGCCGCTGCGGCTGAGAGGCACTGACCCGCGGTGCTGCCCCGGGGGTGCCATGCGTGGGATGGGCACATCGGCCGCTCTGCTGCCTGGAGCTGCCAAAGGGCCAGGACTCGCCGTGGCACCTGCCGCAATCCGAGGCTGTAACCACGGTGCTCAGCCCTGGGGGACCAGTCCCGGGGTGTCCGGGGACGTGTTGGTTGTTGACTATGGATCGGGACCTCAAGAGAACAGCCGTGGCCGGCGCAGCAGGAGAGATCAGGGCGCCGGGCGCAGACTCAGCCGCCGCCCAGCCGCTGCACACCGGGCCCGCCCCTCCACCCGCCGGCCGCTGTTCCGCCACCCCTCCGGCACTTCCTGGGGGCTGAGCTTCAGTCCGACAGAGCGCCCACAGAGGAGGCACCGGCCTGCTCCAGAGCCTCACAGAGACATGCGTGTGCACACACACGCAACCCTGCCTCCTTGCAGATGACCCGTGCACCCCGCCTCCTCCTGCCCCCGGCCCCCACGCTTCCCTCTGCAGGTAGCAGGAGCCAGGACCTAAGCCCGGGCCGGGCAGGGCTGTCCCCCTGCGGGGCTGCCCCAGCTCACTCCCTTTCCTGTCCTCAGGGGCCACCAAGGACATGGGGAAGATGCTGGGGGGCGACGAGGAGAAGGACCCCGACGCAGCCAAGAAGGAGGAGGAGCGGCAGGAGGCTCTGCGGCAGGAGGAGGAGGAGCGCAAGGCCAAGTACGCCAAGATGGAGGCCGAGCGCGAGGCCATGCGGCAGGGCATCCGGGACAAGGTGGGGCTCGGCGGCGGGCGCAGGCGGGGCGGCGGGCGGCTGGGCCCTGGGGCCGGGGAGCCCCCGCCCCTCCCACGGGGAAGTCGGCCCTGAACCTGCACCCACCCGGGCACCGCCCCGCGGGGGCTGCCAGGCCAGGCCTGGGTGCGGGACCAGCCCCGGGGGGAGGAGCGCGGTCGGGGGGAGGGCCATGTGGAGCCTGGGGGCCCCTTTCTGCCCCCGCTTGGCCAGGCTGCACTGGACAGGACTGTGGCTTGCCCCCCGGGAGCTTCGGGGCGCGGCCCCTGAGGGGTGCGGGATGAGGGGTGGCTGCGCCCTAGGCCGCCCCGCGTGCCACGCAGGCTCACTGGGGGTTGCAGTGCCCGGCGGGGGTGGGGGGCCCAGCCCTTCCTGCCCCCGGTGGCCTGTCCTCGGGGTGGGGACACCCAGGCACCGTAGACAAGGTGGAGGTTCCTGCAGGAGCGGCTGTCTCCCGGGGGACCCCTCCCTGCCTCCGACCTGCCTCCAGTGGCCCGGTCGGGGGTGGGCAAGGCCAGGGCCACTGGGGGCCAGGCTGGAGGAGAGGGGCCCAGGGAGGGGTCCCCTGAGCCATGTGGCCTCCCAGGGTCCTTGAGGCGATGCCACCTGGGGTGCTTGCCCTCCCCGGCCCCTGCCGGGTGGGGCCTCCTCCCCCAAAGGCCCTCGTGCCTCGGGGCGCCCTTTGCACCGAAGGCATCGCTGGGTTTGGGTGCTCCGGTGGGAGGTGGGATTTGGGGGCGCGGCCTCGCCGGGCTCCTTCCTGCCCCCAACTGCCTGGCCCCCATCTCTGGGCTCTGAAGGAGGTGGTCCCAGCCATTGTGGATGCACCCTCGGGGTGCGGGCTGGGTGGGGGCCTGGAGGCTTCCTGAGTGGGTCTCCACGGTGCCGGGCCTGGACCAGCCAAGGAGCCGGGAGGCGGACGGGGAGCCTGCTGCGCTCCGCCTCGGGGCGCGCGGGAGGGCCCGCTCCCCGCCCTCGCGAGTGGTCAGTGCAGGGGCCCCCGCCTGGGGCCCTTCCCTAGGGACCTGCGGCTCGTGAGCCGCCTCCCCGCCCCGGTTCTGCCTGTCCTGCCGCAGTCAGGAGCTGTGTGGGGAGGAGCCCGAGAATGGGCACCGTCAAGCAGACCCCCTGGAAGCTGTGCTGGGCACAGACGGGTCAGAGCCCGGCGCGGGTGCAAGGCAGGAAGACAGAGACAGAGAGACAGAGGGAAAGACAGAGAAACAGACTCGCCCTGTCGTGTGTCCCCCCTGCGCCCCCGCCAACGCCGCGCCTTCCCGGATCCGAGGCCGCTCGGGAGAGCGACGACAGGTCCCAGACGCTGGAGCCCCGGCTTCCCGCTGCAGCACTGCAGGCTCCGGAACCTGGTCCACTCCCTGCGAGGAGCCTTCGGCTCAGCAGAGAGGGCCCCCCCGACCAGGTCCCGCGGCCCCACGGCCCCCCAAAGGGGGAGCGCGCACGGCGAGGGGCGAGGGCATCCCCGGGACGCGCAAGGGCGGGGCGCCCCCTGGTGGCCCATGTGGGGAGCGCGGCGCCTGGCGCCTCCCGCTCCGCGGCGTCCCAGCTGCGTCCACTGACCCGGCCCGGCCCTGGCCCCGCGAGGTGGCCCGACGCCCAAGTCCGCACCGTTCCCCGCAGAGCGCCCCTCCACCTGGCTGTGCTCCGGCCTCGCGCGCCCGCCCTCCTGCTCCGCAGAGGTGCCTCCCCGCTGGCCCCGGCTTCCTCCCGCCCTCCCCTGGCCGGTGTGCCTCTCCATCGGCCTCTGCCAGGGCTCGTGAGGGATGGTTAGGGCAGGGGTGCGGGGTTCCCGGTCCCAGGCCCCTCACCCGGAGACGAGGCTGAGAGGCACCTCCGCGGAGGGAGGCTGGTGGGCGGAGCCTCTCGCTCCCGGCGGAGCGCGGGAGCAGGTGGGAGGGGGGCTGGGCCCACCTGTGCGTCACCTGCACACGCGACCCTGCTGTGCTTCGTGCTTCCTGATTTGCACGCCCACCTTCAGATTGGCATGCGCACCGCCAGGCGTGGGGCTTCCCGCCTCCAAGTTTCGCAGCTTTGAGCCAGAACCAACCCCCCCGCGCCGAGCCCCGCCGGGTTCCGGCCCCCGCCCCGCCCCGCGCCCCCGCCATCACTCCTAGCCCGTTGGAGGTTTGTGCCGATCCCGGCGGGCGCGATCGCCGCTTATTACTCGTGCGGTCACACTGCCGTCTGGGGCGCAGGCCGCCCCGAGCTGCCTCCCAGCCGCAGGCCGTGGGTCCAGCGCTGATGGCGTGGCCTCTCGGTGGTCAGCGTCGCTGGTCAACAACTGTCGACGGACCCCGGGCTCTAGGGCGTGGGAACCTCGAGCTGGCCGGCTCGCAGCCGCCTGAGCCAGGCTCTGGGGCTACCGCGGCGCAGGAGCGCCAGGCCCAGAGAGGAACGTGACCCTCAGGTCAAGGCCAGAGTGAGCAGCCTTAGCCTCAGAAGCTTTCAGGCCTCTGGGGCAACCGGGCTGGGGTGTCTTTCCTGCACCCCGTCGGGGAGGAGCTCCGAAAGTGCCTGCAGACAGGGTCCCAACCCAGTCCCCTGAGCTTGCTTCCCGCCCCCTCCCCGGGTTCCTCCGCTCAGCCCTCCTGTTGCAGGTGAGTTCCCCCTGCCAGGCCAGTGTTTCTGCCAGGACCAAGCGTTTCCCGGAGCCCAGTCCCCTTCGCTGTGCGCGTGGGGCAGGCCGGGGGCAGCACAGCCTCCTGGGCCGCCAAGGCCCACGCAGGTTCCCGCCTTGTGCCAGCCGCCCTGCCGGGGAGGAGGCTGCTCTGACCTAGTTTCTGGCCGCACCTCCCACCCCAGCCCGCGCGCTGCCCTGCAGGACTCCCGGGCCCAGGCGTCTCCCTTCCTCCTGTGGCCTGGGCCGCGGCTGCCTGCGGCGGGGGTGTCCCAGAGCAGCGGCGGCCCAGGGAAAGGGCGCGTGCTCCTTGCACCGGCCCCCAGGGGTGCCTGGCGTGTGGCCCGCGTGTTGCCCTCAGTGCTCAGTGCCTGCCGCTCCAGGCACCCTTGGGCGCCCTCACTGCCCCTGGTCGGGACCCTCCCAGTGCTTCTGGCTCCGGTCAGGGTGCAGAGGGGGCTCCGTGCCACTCAGGAGCCCCGCTGAGGAGGTGCAGCTGTCCCTCGTCCCTCTGGCCTACAGGTCCCCCGGCTGTGCTCTGGTCACAGCTGGGCCGAGCGCGTGGCTTCCTCTTCCCAGACCTCGGCTGAAGGTGGCTCTTGCTTGCCCCGTGCCTGCAGCCCCAGGGGAGAGCAGGGGTGGGGCACAGTCAGCCCCCCAACCTGAAACACGGCAGGGCCGTGGAGAGCCAGGCTTTGGGGGAAAGGGCTGATAAGGAGAGATTTGTGGGCAGTGGGGGTCCCCCGCTTGGGCAGAGCACCCCGTCGCCAAGGCCACGTGTGGGCCCCTCGGCAGCTGGCTGTCGCGGACACCCGTACCCAACCCCCGTGGGCCGTCCTCACCCCCTGTTCCTTCCTGTGGGCTCCCAAGTGAGACCTGCAGCCTCGGACCTGACCCAGGGGCTCCCCTCCCCGCAGCGTGGGCGGCTGGCCAGACCCCCAAAGCCGAGAGGCCAGCCCGGCCCCGCCTGGCTCCCACCAGCCCAAGGCGGGGGTCCTGCTGTGGCCTCCAGGGCTCCCTGCGACCACAGGCTCAGGCGGCAGGGCCTCTGGGGGCAGGGACTGATGGGTCTGGCAGGGCCGAGGTGGCCTCCGGGAAACCTGTTCCCTCAGTTCGGAGGCCTGAAGGCTGTGCTCCCGCCGAACCCTGCAGGAGCGAACTCTTCCCGTGTCTGCCGCCGGGCAGCCGCGGTGTCCTTGGCCCGGGGCAGCATCCCTCCCGATGTTCATCTGCCTCCCCGTTTTCACACGGCCTGCTCTGTGCCTCACAGCAAACGCTCGCTGGACCTGGGGCCCAGGGTTCTCTCCTGCCGCTCTTACTGTCATTACATCTGCAAAACAACGCTGTTTCCCAATAAGGACACATTTGGAGGTTCCTGGGACGCGGGGGTTTTTAAATCCTCACCTGAGGGCATGTTTATTGATCTTAGAGAGAGAGGAAGTTGGGGGGGGGGCGTAAACATCCATAGGTTGCCTCTTGTGTGCACCTGGCCAGAGCTCAAACCCACAGCCCAGGCGCGTGCCTTGACTGGGAACCAAACCTGCAACCTGTTGGTCCCGGTGATGCTCCAGCCAACTGAGCCACTGCCCAAGGCTCCAGGGGACAAGGATTTTGGGGGATACCATTCGACCCACTACAAGGGAGGAGCTGGGTTGGGTGGGGGGCAGGCACGCAGGGAGCCAGCCCTGTGGCCGAGGCCCCGAGACACCCACCGTGGAGTGGCCATGGGGCATGTCTCCTACCAGTGGCTCACAGAGCGCAGAGGCATCTGCCAGGGGCTGGGGTCATGGCTGTGTCCCGGGGAGACCTGGCCGGGCACAGGGGTGACAGTTGGGCCGGGACCAAGGGTCTGGTCAGCTGGCAATGGAGCAATGGGTCCTCCCCGCCATGGCCACCCTTCCCGCTGCTCCTGTGACCGGCCCGGGCCAGGCTGGGGGCTGTACAGCTTCCTCAAGGAGGCACCGGGCAGGGCAGAGCTGGGGGACCCTGCGTGGTGCCCCCAAACAGGTAGACATGCCTGTACGCGCTCCCCTGCGGCTTCCCGCTTGCGCCGGTGCCCAGGAGCTCTCTGTGGGGGCCTCTGCGCCCTCCTGAGTGGGGACTCTGCCTTCCCTCCGGGGTTCTGGTGGGGCCGAGGTGGCCTCCCATAGCCGTGGGTGCTGCCCCTCAGGCCCCTCACCCAGGTCCTGCGGGCACAGGGCCCGGCGGGGCCGCTGACCTGGGCCTGTCCCCACAGTATGGCATCAAGAAGAAGGAGGAGCGCGAGGCCGAGGCCCAGGCGGCCATGGAGGCCAACTCGGAGGGCAGCCTGACGCGGCCCAAGAAGGCCATCCCGCCAGGCTGCGGCGACGAACCGGAGCCGGAGGACGAGAGCATCCTGGACACGGTCATCAAGTACCTGCCAGGGCCGCTGCAGGACATGTTCAAGAAGTAACGCCCGCCCCGCCCTCACCCGCCCCCCGCCCGGCCCCGCGGAGGCCCCCAGGGAGGCCGGGAGCAGAGTGCAGCCCCAGCGCGACACAAGCCATAGTCCCCGTCCCTGCGCCCCGCGCCCCTCGCGGGGGCGCCTCTGCCCGCCGCCACCCCTCCCCGCACTGCCACGCGCCCGCCACGTGGGAGGGGCGTCGACCCCCAGGGACCCTGACGTCCGTGCCGGCGGCCGGGGTCCAGCCCCCTGAGCTCCCCCTGAGCTGGAGGGTTGGACCCCTGCCTCGAGCCCGGAACCCCCTGACCACCCCTGCCCCTCACCGCCCGCCCAGCAGCGTCTGAGGCCGCGCCACCGGCCACCCCTCCGCGCTTGATGCGCGCTTGATCGGCCCCAAACTCAGGAGCACAGCCATAGTGGGGGGCGGGGGCGCGGTGCGGGTTGGAGGCGGCGGGAAGGGCAGCGGCCGGTGCCTGGGCCCCTCCCTGTCCGATGCGCCGGACCCGCAAGCACTCCTCCCACGCTGACACCCTGCGCGGCCGCCCACCTCTCCGTCTGAACCCGTCGCGTTCGTCGTCGTCCGTCCGTCCCTCCCCCGGGCCCGCTCCTCCGGGCGCCGGGGCCCTTTTCTAAGCTGAAGGAAACAAAGCAATACGAGTGGGGGACCCCCACCCCCGGAGTGGAACACGTCCTAGTACGTCAGCCCGCCCGAGTCCGGCACCGCAAGCCCGCCCTCCCGAGGCTGCGCGAGGGAGACCCTGCTCCCACCCTCCGGCGGAGGGAGCCTTGACCGGAGGGGTGTGCCCGCCCCCGCCGCTCCCTCCCGCCGGGCGCCCCGAGGCGTGGCGCGCGCCCGGCGGATTCGACAGCGGACCCCGCAGCCCTGCTTGCCCCCGTCCCTGTTTAATTTGCATCACATGCGTTGAATCTCAGGTAAACGAGGTCTAGTGTCTTCGGGGAGTTTATCTGGACTGAAAGCCGGTGGCCTTGGTATGCGCGTCCGAAATCCGTCGAGGGCAGGAGTGGACGGCCGGGCGCGGCTCCGCAGCGCTGTTCAGAAAAGCCATAACGACCAGACCGCAATACGAACGGCGCGCCCTGCGCCCCGGCTCCTCCGCTGCCCCGTCTTCCTAGATGCCCGTTTCCACGCTTCGGGTGCCCGCTCCGAGCAGGCAGGGCGTTGTCTCGCAGAAACCCCGCACCCGTCCCCCGCGCTTGGGGCGCCGGAGCAGCCCAGCTTCGCGTAGACCTTGGATGTCGTCCGTCTGTCTGTCCTCGCGCCCGCGCCTCCTCCGCATGTCGGGGGCGCGGCGTGTGTCCTCTCCGGATGGAATCGCAGCCAATAAACACCACCGTGATTTCATACCGTGTGGACATTCTCTCCGGAGACCTGATCCCGCCTGGGAGGAGAGAAGGGGCCGGTGGGACCCACAGGGATCCGCCCCCTCCCCCCGCGCCCATCCGATAGGAAGCATTTTCCCCTCCTCCTGGAGCGGCTGCAGGGCCCCCCACCACCCTGTCCCAGACGCCCCTTCCCTAAGGCAACCCCAGCAGGAGTAATCGTCTAAGACGCAGGCCAGGCGACCGCTTCAGCCTGGGTCCCCTCCGCGTAGCGCCCCGCCCCCCACCTCCAAGACCCACCGCAGGCTCCTCCTCCCCCACAGCTGCCGCAGGCCCTGGGTTGGCTGGGGTCCCACTGTGCGGGCCGTGCCCCGGGCCTCTCTGCTCTGCCCTGGGGAGCCTGCCCCTCGCCAGCACGTCCCGGGGGCCTTGGTCTCCCACCCCGCAAGGGGTGCCCGCGCTTCTGGGCAGAAGCAGTTAAGGTGCTAGTGGTACCTGCCTAGCCTGGGGCACCCCAACCCCCGCGGTCTCTCCCTGGGATCTGCCCGGTCCCTCCCGTGCCCAAAGCCCACACGGCGGGCTGTGCCCAGAAAGGCCTGTTAGACTCCCACTTCTGGGGTCCTCTCCAGGAGGGCGGCGAATCTGGGTCCCCGGCGACTTTTCTCACCGCTGGCTGCACTCGCAGGGGGCGTCCGGCCTCAGCGCGGAGGGGGCCGTGCTCACCCCACCCTGCCCCTCGCATGCCTCCCCACCAAGCTGCGCCCCAAGGCACCCCCGGGAGCCAGCCACAGCCCCCCCCCCCCAGCCGCACATGCTGGGTGGGGAGGGGTCTGGGAGGAACATGCTCTCGGACCAGCGCAGGGTGGGGTGGAGCATCTCCCATCCCCCTCCTGCCGGGGGTGGGGTGGGGGTGGGGCGGCTCCCAGCCCCAAACGACACTGAGCGTCCTGTGCACCTTCCACCTGCTGAGGGAGCAGCCGTTCACCCTCCTTGCCTGGACCCCAAGCTCACAGTCCTCGCAGCCAACTCTGTGCTTTGGGCTCTGCAGGCAGCGCCCAGTATGGCTGTTCCTCGCAGGGCACCCAGCATTCAGTCTCCCCTCCACCCAGGCCCGGCTGGACCCTTCTTGGTGCGAGGTGGCGACGGGTGTGCCCGCAACCCTGGGCAGCCCTCCTTCCTCAGCGACTGGTGGGCAGACCCCTCGGGTGCTGGGGTCCGAGGGCTCCAGGGAAAGCAAGCACTTGCTGTTGACTGAGCCCCAACTCAGTCCCAGGCACGGAGGGTAACCGAGGACCCTCGTCCTGGGACTGGTTTTTCCAGCAGCAGGAGGCAGATGATAAACCCACACAAAAGCCAAGCGGAGATTCCTTCTGCGGAGGATGTCAGTCAGGGTCAGGGCACAGAGAGGGTGGTGAGGCTGCTGCTCCTCGCGCGGGGGTGATGTGGACAGAGAGCCCCGCGGAGAGCCCTGCAGGCTGAGGAACAGCCACGCCAGGGCCGTGGGGCAGGAGCTGCCCCGGGCGCTCCAGAGCGGGGGCCTTGCCCGGGAAGCCTGCTTTAGGCCACGCTGCCTGGTAGCAGTTTCTCTCCTCCCTGGACCGTGACAGAGCGGAGCCCTCCCTCCAGAGGCGTCCTCCACCGCGCGGGCAGGCACCCAGCGGGCTCTGATGACCTCTCCCTGGCCCCCGGGCGCAGCCAGCCAGGCATCACTCCGCCCAGGAGACCTGCGCTCGGCGAGCGGCTGGAGTCGCAGCCACCGACCATCGAGGCCGTCAGGACAGGTTTTTAAAGGTCCGGCAATTAAGGGCCATTTGTCTAGTTCTGCTAATCCGCCGCGAGACGAACCCTGCTGTCCACAGTCGCAGCCAGCGGGGCCGGCGACCCACGGGTCTGCGCCACCTGTCCGCGCTGGAAACGGCTCCACGCCAGTCTCGGCCGTTCGCATCCGTGGGCGGCGGGTCCCTGGGAGCCTGACTAGCTCGGACGGGGGCGGGATTGGGCTGCCGCGCGGCTCGCGGTCGTCTCCGTCCGCGTGTCCGCGTGTCCGCGTGTCCGCGAGGATGGGAAGGCCTCAGGGCAGGACCCCAGACCAGTGCCCCTCGAGCCGGGCGCTGCGACAAGGAGACAGGGCTTGGCCCGCGGAGAGCAAGGCGCGGGGAGTGGGGCGGAGGTTCTGGGGTCCCCACTGCCTCGCCCCTCCTCCAGGACCCGCCCCACCGGTATGAGCCAATCGTCGCCTGCGAGGCAGGCCACCGTGATTGGCCCTTAAGATCACGTGATGAAAAGTCTAGCCAATCGGAGCCGGGCAGGCTCCGCGCGGGGCGGGCGGTCCTCGTTGCTCCTGGAGCCCCCGGCCCTGGGCGGCGGGCGCGGGTCCTGAGGCCGGGCGCCGGGGCAGGGGCTCGCCGGGCCGTCCTGCCTGGCCGTCCGGGACCGGGCAGCAGCTCTGGGTGGGGCTGTTCTCCCGCTGCCCCGGACTGGCCGCCGAGCACGCGGCCGGTGCGCTGCGAGGCGCGAGGACAGCCCCGGGGAGGTGCCCAGATTCTGCCCCACCCGGAGGGTGGTGCGCGCGTTGATTTCTTCCAGACCCGGGGGAGGCGGTGCGGGAGCTGAACTTGGGTGGATTTCTTCAAAATAAAACACATCTCCTTGCAGCCCCGAGTGGGCCCACTGAGATTCACGGGGCGCAGCCGGCCGGGGCCTCGGTCGGGGGCGGCGGGGGCCTGGCTGCGGGGCGGGAGGAGGCCCCGGCCTGTGCAGCTGCCGCCGCCCCACCCGCCAGTCCCCGAGGGGCCTGTGCGCGCCGCTCCTCGGGGAGGCCGACGTCCTGTGCGTGAGCCACTTGGAGGCTGGCGCGCGCGCTCTCCGAACAAACCGGCGGAGCAGCACCGCCGGGCCTGTGCCCCGCGTCCGGGTGGCCCTTGATTCCAGGCTCAGAGGTCAGCCGGGGCGGCTCGTACGTGACCTCCAGGCGTTGGCCGGAGGGGAGGGCCGGAGGAGAGGGCACGAGCGACCCACCCCGCCCCGCCCCCGCCCCGCCCGCCTGTCGTAGTCCGCCGGGGCCTAGGGCCAGGGAACCAGGGAAGAGGGGCTGGGCGCGGATGGAACTTCCAGGATGAGCTGGAACGCGGACAGCTGACCCAACATCTCTCCCCGAGGAAGACATCAGGAGAACTCCAGCGAGGGATGCCTACCGAGTAACCGAGCAGCACTGCTCTCGGGGATCCAAATAAGGGGCGTCTGAAAAATCGTCACAGCCAAGAGCCACGGAAGGAGACGTGACACCCAGCTGCCGGGTGGAGTCCTGGCGCAGAGAAAGGACCTGGGTGAACGCGGAGGACCCTCCTGAGTGGGCTTTCCTCGTTCGTGAGAAGGACCGTGTTGGCCGCTGGTGGCGCTAGCGCACCGGTCTCCCAGGGGCCGTCAGGACAGGGCTGGCGCCGGGCACGCGGGAGCCCTGCGCCAGAGTTGCACCGCTTTTGTCCTCTAGAAATTTACTTAGAAGTTCTCTAGAGAAGACACAACACAGCTCAGCTGAGGTCAGAACCAGCAGCCGGTGACACAGGAGAGGGACGCCAGGCCGGCCCTGGAGCAGCTTGCCCACAGAGGCCCGGAGCCGCTGGAGAGCGTGGACAGGGCCTTCCCTCCCCCTGCCTGGGATCTGGGAGCTGCTCAGGGACGCCCGCCGTCGGGAGGGACAGGGGCTGCCGCCTGGTGCGGGAGGACTCCCATTTCCTGCTCCCACCGTGGCCGGTGCCTGGCTCTCAGGCCACAGAGGGAGCAGGGTTACCGGAAGCCCGGCTGCTGCCCGAGCCGATGCAGAAAAAGCGTCAAGTGGGGCTCAGAGGTGGTGAGAAGGGGGCAAAGCCTCGCGACATGCTCATCCGGGCTGGAACCCGCCGTGGACCAGGGGCTCTGCGGGGAGCCAGCACCTCTGCTGAGGGACGGCGGCTTCCATTCCTCCAGGTGGGCGTCTGGTGGCACGGCAGGACCTGAGCATGTGTAGTCTAACCTTAGAAGAAACTGCGAAACGTTTCCAAAGTGTTCGTAGCAGCGACACAGGAAGACTCAGCAAGAGCCCTCGGCAATGCCTGGCGTTAGTCTCTCAGTCCCTTCGGCTGCTTTAGTGCGAACACCACGGGCCAGGCCCCACACCACAGGCGTCTGTTTCTCGCAGTTGGAGGCTGACGACTGCAGTCAAGGTGCCGGCAGGTTCGGTGTCCGGCGAGCCCCTTCCTGGTTCGCGGCCGCGTCTCCTCCCTGTCCCATTCAGGACCTAGCCACCCCGCAAAAGGCCGCGCTTCCTCGGGTTCCAACAAGCGAACTTGTTGGGGGCGGGGGATGAAAAGGTTCAGTCCACAAAGTCTTTAAGGCGCCACCCGCTGCGGTGGGTTTGCAGTGGCGTTGCAGTGTGAACGCTGACGAACAAGGACCAGTCGCTGATCTGGAGGAAATGAGGGGCAGAGGACTCAGCAGCTCAGGCTGAAGAGCCCCGAGCAGGGTTTTCTCATCGTATTTATTAGGAAAAGAATGAGGGTGGACAGCAATGCACGCAAAGCAAAAAACAAATGTTATCAGTCACGTGCACTCCCAGCTATTTAGGGCCCAAGGGTTTCTATAACCAAGGCCGTTCCACGCCTCTAGCGAACTCCAAGGAACAAGCAAGGTAGTTCAGTTCTTGGCGGCGTGCCTTCCAAGACATCCTGCAGGCCAGCTTGCCGGTCACGCCAGGGTGAACATCTGTGTCCTTGTTCCCCTTCATAGCGCCAGACCCCTGCGTGAGAACAGCTCATTTCTCAAGGCCGTCCTCCACACAGTGGGATCGCATCTGGGCTCATTTGGTCTCCCTATGATTGGCAGAGACCCCTTTCTCCTGCCCACCCCCGCAGGCGTCCCCTATTGACGTCTTGCATTAATGTGCTTCAGGTGAAAAACCGCGAACCAACATCAAGACATTGTCACTAACTAAAGCTCATACTCAGTTGGAGTTTACTCTCTTTCTTGTACATTTTTTGGACTGGACAAACGAGCAATGATGTGGGTCCATAACACAG